GGGGGGGTGAAGGATGCAGCCTTGGCATCATTTTGAAGTTTAACTTTGTTTGGCCCTCTTCAGTTGCACGGTTGAAATCAAAAGTGTGCTTTTAAATCTGTGTGTTTATAAGCAGAGTTTAAAAATGAATCCCACTCGCCAATTTTTTTTTAAATTGTTACAAGAAAATACAAATGAATCAAAAGGAAAAAAAGCCATAAATAGAGAAAGTGGTATATTAGGAGTTTAAGTAGTTTGGGTTGTAGTAAAGTCTATATTTGTTTTTATCAAAGTTCAAAGGAGGATACTTGCTTTAGCCGTTGTAGTTCTGGGGTCACAGGTGGCGGTGCTCCAGAAGTTTTCTGCGTGATCTCGGTCCAAACTGCGGTCATTCATAAAGCATGAAACAAAATCTGCATATTTAATTTCTTGCATCTGTCTTTAATTTGTTCTTGAATTGAAAATGTGTGACCGGTTGCCAGCAACGTGTTTGTTTACCTTCGGAAACGGCCCGGGGGACTAAAAATAGGTCAACTATGGTGGCGTCCATGGATGAGCTGTTTGGGATCCAGACATCCGTTAATTTTTGTTGCTAGCACGTATTTACACTCGGGTTTGGTAATCTAGCCAAAGTTTCAGTCCAGTCCAGTGCTTTGTTTACATCGAGTGCGTACCTGCAATCAAATATCACCAAACCTGGAAAACTAGTGGAGGAAACTCTTTCATACGGCACCGTTTTAGATTATTCAGTTTTCTGTTAGTTTGTAGTTTGCAATGAAAACCTTTTAAAGTTTGTGACATATGTTTATGTTCAATGTCTGACCCTGTGTTTCAGCTGATGCGTTCATCCTGGATGAAGTCAGTCCACGGTTTTTCCTTTCCATTAGTAGTTTCCTGTGATTTAGATGTTGGCTCTTAATACCTCACGGTGCAGCAGTCCTTCTTTTGTCCCATTAAAGAAGCTGCTGTCCAGTTTGTCCAGAGTTCTCTGTCATTTAAGAAAGAATTAGGCGTTGTAAAGTAAATCTCTTGGTGTTCGTCCTCAGTTTTCCTCTAAACTGCAGCTGTGTTGTACCCACACAGCTTAAATCAGCTGACTGACACCCTGATTCAACCATTTGTTCGCCTTTTTAAAGTTTGAACACTCGGCTGTACGTTTAAGTTTGTGAATGAGGAGCTCGCTTGTTGAGTTGGAAAGCCTTCATCACGTGATGTGGTGGCTGGATTAAAGTGTGGCGACGGTCTGAGGGCGGTCTTTTCAGCAGCAGTTGGGTTTTCAGAAATAAGGCTTTTCAATTTGATTCTTAGTTTGCAGTAGTTCTGTTTAAAAAAAGGTCTAACAAGGTTGAGTCGGGTCCTCTGGATGGATTCTTCTTGTTGAAACGTTTCGTCTTTTATCCAAAATACTAATTCAGTCTTGTAAACAGCACCTCCTCATAGTGGATCAACCAGTCTGCTGCTGACAGCCAGAACTAGCTGTTCACATGCAAAAGGAGGACCATCAGCCTAACAATGGAACGTTAGCACCCTGATGGCCGCTTGCTATTCACAGAGGGCTGAGTGTTACTAGCAATAACAGCATTGTAAGAGGGTGGTGGTTGAACATGGAGACCCCCACCCCTGTTTAAAGATGAACTTTTTCTCTTTTCAAAGATGGCTTCTTTCACTCCTCTCAAACCAGCGTTCCTCTATGAAGAACGTGCTCACCTTCATGCCTGACCGAGTCTATAAAGGGATATTCTGACTGTTTTGACGTGAGGTCATGTGGGATTGCTGTTTAAACAATTCCAGTTTAGAGAAACGGTTCAAGTTTTACAGGACTGATGAGCTAACGGCTAGTCCGAACGCAGCCAAGCCCGACGTGGATGGCTGCCGTTAAAAGTAACTCCACTCTGCAAAGTTTCAAATCGGCTCATGCTAATAATAAAAGCTTCACACGTCTGGATCAACTTCAGGCTGCTTTTGGCCTCTCGAATGAAATCCATGAAAAATCACTGACTGCTAATTGGCGACGGTGTGCAGGTGTGATTGTCGCATTTCCATGAACTGGTATGAAACATTAGAGGTTGCAGCTGTTTGAAGTCGGCACAGATCCACTGTGGTCTTGGTTGCCTTCAGCTCTGCTTGTTCAGTGAGTTATCTACAACAGGTAAGATGATTATTTAAGTTTTCCACAGAACCTCACTTCAGAAAATCCAGATGTCCTGGTGTATTTTCACAGTTTGTGGTGAATCTGAGCAGCACAGTGAAAGCAGGCGACATCGTTC